GAGTAAAAGATTCCCCAGATTCTCCAAATGCAAAGGAACTAAACTGATAATAAGCAGTTTTTCTAAACATATCCCATGATGACCACCAAGCAGCAAGAAAACTCTCCAACAAAGAAATCGTAGATCAAAGTGAGCCTTAACTGATTTGGATTCTGCTTTCTGTATATCCTACATACATAAGTCATTACATTCTTCTACTGATTAGACAGACAGATAGACATAACTGGTACATTATTTTTCAGGAAAATGTCTCTGCTATTTATTATCTTCCCTTTGAGGAGTGAGGAAAGGAGGACACAGTTTAATAACAGAGACCATGTTCTCCATGCAGGTTCCACCTATGGCATCTCCAGGTAGACTCAGGAAAAATCCCTGTTTGAAACCCTGAAGACTCTCCATTAGTCAATGTTGAATCTGTACTGTAAGAGATAATGACCTGACTCAATATAAGGCAACTTCTTAAGCAAGAACTCCTAGATTCTGTGTAAGATTCATCTGAGGAACTACTCCTATCTACAACATCAAATCTATATTTATCAATGGGACCATGAAGGAACCATGCATGGATCCAGAACTGAAAGGGCTAAAAGGACCCCATAGGAGGTTGTTTTTATAGACTCCTCTCCATTAACCTCATCCATGCTGCTCCAGTAAGTCTCTAACCTTCCAGAGCATGTTTTCTACAGCCCACAGTAACTTTCCACTCATAAGAATGTTCAATTCTCCACTGTGCCTCCTGGGAAAATAGCTAATCTATGTGGCCTTGGGCTAGCTATACAGTCCCAAAATGCACCAGAAAAAGGGGATGGTAGATCTCTTCTGAGTATACCCTACCTGGAAAACCCTGAAAAGGGTCACTGTAAGACAGAATTGATGGCACACAATTATTAATCCATGAAAGTTCACAGTGCAGCAGTAAAGATGCCATGTAAATCTTCGTTGTTTTCTTGTAACAGATTAACATGGGTACTCTCTTTGAAAACCAAATTACTGCACACTCCAGATCACAACATTACTGAATAGTTCTTTGTAAAAGACTTTTAATTTCTAATATCCACTCTAACCAAAATATACTATATTTTATAGAAATTAGGTCTGAGAAACTCTTTCCATAACAATCCACAGTTTTTATAAGGTTAAGAAACTTCCCACCTTAAGTAGTAAGGACAATGTTTGTGCATGTGTACAGAGCATTCTTATTTCACAAAGGAATAAGAAGGAGCCATTCTTCACACATCTACACTTTCCACTATCAACAGCAGCACATATTTCTGCATTTTACCTTTCTATTATATGGGACACTTGCTGAGTACTCATGCCAGCCCAAAGGGAAAATATCTCTGTATTACATGGACATTTGATATCATAACCCACAGATTCCACTTAAGCAGCCATGGAAACAATGGGAGGGGGAAGGGGAGTTACCAAGCAGATCATAATATTCCTTTTCCTTTGCTCCATGACTCCCCTCCTTCAACCATTGCCCACCATTTTGTGTACCATGGTTTCTTCCTTGCAAAGTTTTCTGTTTCCTTCCAGCAGAATTCTATAGGTTCAGAGCCAGGAGTCCTTAACTAATGCAACCCTCTGAATGTCACTGAAGAAGTTTCTCTCTCATCCATGATTATTTGGAGCGATTGTTAAGCCAGTAAATTTGCAATGACACTGTGCCATTTCTGGAAACACCACACAGCATTCTTGTCATCTGCCAGAGACAGAGAGATCAGGCCAAGTTACCGTGTAGAATCAAGACTACAATCCTATGCATGCTCACTACAGGTAGCCCATAGATTAAATGGAGAGGGGACATACACCTTAACCTGAAATGATGGGGTGACCCCCACTCCCACAACCTCAGTCTCAAAACTCACCCAAAGGCAGAAAACTCTGCCAAGTGAACTGGCAAATAACTGTTAGTGGGGAATCCTCAGAACATCACATCCTTAAAAAGGAAGGTGTTTGCTTCAGCAGAGAGTTGATAAACATGCAATTGCAGTGCAGACATCAGGACATAATGGTACTGCACCCCACCCCATCCAGATATCCACCTCCAAGTCCACTGTCATACAAGGAGTCACACAGATATATAGGAAGGTGAACCTGTTTCCCACTTGGCCACTAACATCTCTGGAGTGATGTTATGTAGTGAGTGTAGCACTCGGAGCAGTTGTTGCCTGTGCTGGTTGGATTGTTGGCCAACTGCAGGTAATTAGTGGGAGTGGAGTGGTTCCTTGGGTGAGCATTGTATAAATGAGCATGTGTGTTTTCCTTGGCGTCTTTCACCTTATCTTGTTGCTGAGAAATGCTGAATGAAGGCATGCTGATTTACAACTTGGAGTCATGAGCCCACGATTTAACAAGTGACTTTTCAAAAGGTGCAAATCTACTTTCAAAGGAAAGCGGTACGGAGGTTCAATCGCGATCGTCATCAACTTAGAACTGCAAGAAGGGACCTTATGGATCATAAGAGTCTAGCTCCTGTCAAGGCGGTACAGTGGGGAAATGAATTCCCGTGGTTCACAATGCCATCCGTTTCCCTGAGTTAATTCCTAATGGTTGTAAAGAAAGCCCTTCAGCTCATACACGAGCTCGCTTTTAAAACTTCTACACACGAAATGGCCAGCATGGGGAGGGGGCCCGCAACCCCGAAAGAAAAGCAGAGAAGGGGCGGCGTTCATTGCTGCCGTGGCGGCCCACACGCAGCCTGTCACGGCTCGACTCGGAAGGAGAAGAAAAAGCACAGCGACGCCCCAGCCGCCCACAGCCAGTCATAATCCGATTCAGAACAGAGGAAGCGTGGCTGGCCCAGCGTGTGGCGTTTGCCCCGCCTTTCCACCTCGGCTTGCAGCCCTTCCACACGACCTGTGCGAAGGGGACGGGGGAGCAGAGGCACTCGCCTCCATGGGCGCTATCAAGCGTTGTCTTCTTTCGGCCCTACGGGAGGGAGAGGGGAGCCTGGGAAGTGCAGCCAGAAAACCTCTAATCCCCCCGCCGCACAGCCATGACAGAAAACTGCTTTTTATAAAAGCCCCTCCAACACACTCCACCATCCTGTTTGACCGCTGCACGTTGGTAACGCCAGGAGGCGGGGGCGGCAGATAGAGAGAGGTGGATTAGGGGAGCCAGCTCTGTGGAAGGCTGCAGCTGTCGTGCATCCACGAAATTTCAGCCTCCCTCCTTCCGCCGGCACTAGAAGAGAGATGCCCACAGGCGAGGGCCATAGACAGTTCCCCGCCATCTCCAGTCCGACACACGACGGGCTCTTTTTTTGGAAATGAGGGCCGAACCCTCGAGGCACAACTAGAGCCGTCTTGAGGCGTCGTACTGCCTGAGGCGGGATAGCAAATGGCGCCCACCCATTATCACTCAAGTCAAGGCGCTGGACCCTAATTCAGGCGGCTTTGGGGAGCAGATACGGACAGAAAGCCTTAGGGCCCGCCCTGTCCTCTCTTTATTGACAACAAATAAATCAAGAACAACGCATTGTCGGGTCCACGGCTCCCCAAATCTTCTTCAGGAGCAGCCCCCTTCCCACTTTGCCTAATGGCAGGGCCGGCGTTTCCTTCACAGCCAGCCGCTCCTCAGCAAGTCACGAAGGCCTCGTTGGCTGAGGATTTGCAAGCGAAGCCTATTAATCTTGGCCAGAAGAGGTGGGGTGGGGGAGAATGGGGGACCGAAAGAGGAGGCGGAGGAGGAGGAGGAGAAGCGGCTGACTGACTGACATCCTCACGTGTGTTTGGGGTGGGGGCAGGAGAGGGAAATCTCGGCAACGTTTCATCAGGCGTCGCTTTCAGCGGCACTCGAGCGCTTTTTTTTAACCCGTGCACCTTTCCGTGTGAAAGGTGTGAACATGGGAAGACGGGTGGGGGAAGGGAGAGAGAGGAAGGGAAGGCGCTCGATCCTGGAGCCTTCCCTCCCTCTGCTGTCCGCCCACGACCCCGTGCCAAGGCCTCACGCCATCCCGTCCAGAAGCGAGGAGTGGGGGGGGGTGGTCTCGGTCTTTCACGACTCAACCTCGCGCGGTTGACCTTCGCCGCTATAAATAGCCGCCCGCCCGCCCGCAGGCACGCACGCAACGCTCGGGTTTCTCTTGCTTCTGCACGTCTGCTTGCCCTGCTTTGCAAACGGCCAGGGCCAAACGCGACCCCGAGCAACTTGACGGATAAGGCTTTCAGAAAGAGGAGAGGATCAGCCTTCCCCACCCATCCGCGCACTCTGAAAAAAGGGGAAAATTCCAAGGAGTCCCTGTGGGCAGGGGGGTCTGGGTTCGCTTTTGACCCCAGTCGCACCAGAAGGCGCAGTTCTCTGTAGCTGCAGAAGCAGCTGCCCTTGCCCAGAGCCGTCTCCAGCCCTCTCTATCCGCCGTCCCTGCGGCTTCCCTGACATCTCCTCGGGAAGCGCGTGAAGAACACGGATCCTGGCCTTCCCAGTTGCCCTTGGGTGAGATTTTCTACCACGGCCCAGGTTGACGTTTCCAAGGCTGTAACCCCAGGCTCTCCTGATCTGAGGAGACTCGGAAGCAATGTGCTTTTTACTCTCTGGCTCTCGCTCTCGCTCTCTCCCACGTCCCCGCAGAGCTGCGGAGGCGAAATCCGCGTGGGCGCGGGGAGGGGGGGCGAGACAAGGAGGGCGCGAGGAGGCACTCGCGGCTGAGCTGTCAATATATGTCAGTGGCGATCGGAAACCCTTCCCAGGAGCAACGCTACGGAGAGGAAGCGGGGCTGAGCGTGGATTCGATGAAGCTCCCCAAGGCATGGCATTGCACCACAATAACCAACCTGCATATCCGTTACACAGCACGGCTTTTTTGCACAAGCAATTCTCGCCGTCCCTCCAAAGATAAACACTTTAAATGTTTAAGCACCCCCCCGGGGAGGGGGTCATTACTCGGACCCCCATTGAAGCTCCCCACTGAGCGGCCTTCAAAAGCATCACCCGGATCCGTCCCCGATTCCCTTTTTCCCTGCATTTCCCGCCCCTGCCTCTCCCACTCGCGTTACCTTCTCTTGGGCCCGGGTGAGTTTCTTCTGCATATTGCTGGCTATTTTCCCGGCGGTGACTCCCTTGCCCATCTCAGCCATCTTGCCGTCCGGGGGTCTGTGTGGCTCTGTGTGTTTTAAAACGGTGCGGTGGCGAGTCAGTTAATCAGGCTGGGAGGAAAGGGGAGCCCGACCAGGAGCGAAACAATGGCCATAGCCCACTTCAAGCGCTAGGGACGAGGAGGATACAGCCTTTTAAAGAGACAGCGCAGGCAGGGCACGCCGGCGTCTTAAAGGTACAGCGCGCCCTGTTTCGAGCAGGATGGGAAGCGACGTGGGACACCCCTGAGCCGAAGGTGACAACAGCTGGGCGAAGGAACAGAAAGGGAGACGCAAGGTGGCTTGCAAATCAAAAAGCTTCCTGGGTTATCGACAAAGCTGTGGGCACATTTAGTTATATGTTTCTAATGAAATGTCCAACAAATGTATTGCAAAGGCTGTCGCTGAATCCCGGCTGAGACGATTTAAAAAATTAAAAATATTATGGGTGAGGCCCATGACCCCACGGTTTGATTTAAAAAATACTTAATTCTGTGACTACAGCACAGAATTCTCAAGTTGATTCTGATTAATGACGACCCTGCTGGATTTTCTAGGTATAAAACACTTAGCAGTGATTTACCAATCCTTCCAATGGTGTTCCTAATAGTGAGGCTTGGACAGAGCTGCACAAGTGACAGGGCACTTAACCCCATGAACCAGGCACGCTCCTGATGAGCTTGTCTGATTGCTCACAGTAGGGATTCAGACTGCTAATTCCTAGCTGATATCTGCTCCAACCCCCTGAGCCATTGAGCTAGTTGTGTTTTTTTTAATCTTTAACTAATGGAAATACAGATGAAGATGTCTGTAGTCTTTATGCTGCTATCATTTGTTGAAACTGCAGTGGTCTTGGATGAGTTAGTCAATTTGAAATATTTAACCATCTTTAAAGATAACCCAATATCCTATGTCGTCTTCTCCTAGAACTGTGTATATTCTTCCATTGCCTTTTGGCTGATACCTTGAAAAGTATTTAGGATAAGTACACGCTGTCTAAAAGACTACATCACTATGAACCAGCCTGGGAATTAAGATCATCAGAGAAGGCCTTTCTCTTGGTCCCACCACCCTCACAGGTGTGCTTGATGGAGACACAGGAGAGGGCCTTCTCTGTTGCTGCTCCCAGACTCTGGAACTCTCTCCCACGGGAAGCTAGGCTGGCCCCATCCGCAAGCAGGCAAAGACCTTTCTTTTCAGGCAACCTTTTCCTTAATGACTGAGAGGGACTTTTTAACTGGATTGTTGCACTCTATTATTCTAAAATATGGTTTTAGTATTGATTTTATCTACCATTTTAAATATAATATTTTTAAATTCTTTTTTTCAATATATAATTACTGTTTGTAGCTTTTAAATATTGTCTTCTTAACAATGTAAGCCACCTTAGGTCCTTTTAAGAAATTGTGAGATTAGATAGATAGATAGATAGATAGACAGACAGACAGACAGACAGACAGACCGACCGACCGACCGACCGACCGACCGACCGACCGATAGATAGATAGATAGATAGATAGATAGATAGATAGATAGATAGATAGATAGATAGATAGATAGATAGATAGATAGATATTTACAGATGTGGGGATGTAATCAAAGGCATGGTGCTTTGCTGACATGGTAAGAATAGCAAAAACAAAACTATATGCCATGAACATTACAATCTAAATCTGCACTTAGAAAAAAGGGGCATCTCTAATTTGCATCTAAAATCCTAAAGATGAGGGGACATCCAAATCTCTAATGGCAAAGAATAATGGGGCCTTGGGTTCCACTACCAAAAGGCTGTCTGCCTTGTACTCAGCAACTACTGTTTAGCTGGTGGTGGAATATAGACCAAGCTTCCTCTGAAGTCTAGAGAATAAAGTATATGAAGCAGACCTTTCTCATATTTTAGCATTTGGCAATAGCACTGTGAGTTCTAAAGCATACAATCCACTTATCACTTACAGAGGAAAAGAAAGGTCCTTCTATAAGATAGTATGAAGCTGCTTCTTCAAACAGAAGTAGACAAAACATTGAATTAATAGTCAAGTTGACTGTTAATTCAATGTTTTGTGCCCAGGGTAGGAGTTTGGTTTCATTATTTGTTTGACTGAGATGAGTTTGTATCCTGCCATCCCAAGAAAGAAGCCCAGGAGTCAAACAACAATGTGACTGACTAATAGATGCACTGGCAGGGTGCGGGAGGACTGAAAGTCTGTGTGACTTGTGCTGATCTATTTGGGGGGCATGAGGCAGAGTAAAACCTTTGTGAAGAGAAAAGGGCCCATCCCAATCTAAGAGGGAAGTGAGCCTGTTGGAATTTGCCTGCAGGGCAACTTAATGAATAAGGGAAGAGGCTTTGTTCAAATGAGGGGTTGGGGATGGGGAGGAGAAGAGAAGAGAAGCCCCAAAAGGCCTGTGGCAAAGTCCAGAATGAAGCATCACCATTTGACTAGAGATAAAGGAAAGGTCCCTCTAGGGTTATCAGATCTCAGGATGCCAGCTGAAATTTGTACTTCTCTATATCTATGGGTGTGTGTGGGGGGATCTCAGGGCAAGGGCACTGGGAGTGGAGAACATTTGACTTTTGTATATGAGGTGTGGTTTGAAAGCCTCAACATGTATTTCCTCCTCTTACCACTGGCAACAGGGCTCACTGGCTCAGGATGAAGGTGTTTTTATGTGTCATATGCTTATACAACATCTATACACTAAAGATCCAGAGTGAGAGCAGGGGACTTGGGAAGGATCTGGTAGATGAATGTACCTGAGCCATTGTCCCATTTGGAACAAGACAAGCAACTGAAACATTTCCTGTGCTTATTTCCAGAACCAGTTGACCCAGGAAGAGTTCCATCCCCTCCCACCTGTTACCTGCCCTACCTTTTTGACATCACAGGGTGCCACCTCCTATCTCCCATTTTGGCCTTGAAATATCAAGAAAATGGAATGCTGCAGACCTAAGGTCTAGGAAAGGCCCTCCAAGTAGACTAGCAGGTGGCGCCAGAAGCCCAAGTGGCTCACTTTTGAAAAATACTGAAGATGCTGATATAAAGGATAGAAATAAAATGGTGCATGCAGGGGAAATAAGTCAGTTGTACAGTACACTCTTGAGGATGGCACTATACAATAGGAACACACAACCTTCCAGTAGCAAAGAACATTAGATGGGAAAGCAATAGCTTTTCCCCATAAATGAAAACATTAAAGCTTATCTATCACTGGAAAAAATGACATCTCCATAATGCTGAATAAAAAAGAGGAACAATTATGCTATCTAAATTTGATTATCACGTGATTCTGTGCAAAATGTTATCTGTTCTGTTCACTCTAATTATTTTTTTATATGTGCCTTTTGCATTCTGCAGAAATAGCAAATAAAGTTCTAAAGTCTGGGTTTATTTATCAGTGGGAAGAAGTATTAAGTGTAAGGGCTGAAAATGAAGACATACTGGTTGATAATGGCTCATTTGCCTGTATCTGTTGCAATGTGGCTGGAATGTATAACTGGCTCAATCTGGTGTCTCTCTAGATGTGCCAGACTATGTTACCCATTGTCTGCACCAAGCCATAATGGAATGGCAGCCAAATGGGGCAAAGAGGATGGGAGTTGCAGTTCAACAGATCTAAAGGGCACCAGTTTGAGAAGTTTAAAAGCTTCATGTGAAAAAAATGACTACATGTATATTTGTTTCTTTCTGGAATTATATGTTGCCCAGAATCCTATACTACACAAGGTCTGTGTAACTTGGCTTGACTAATTATTATTAATCAACAAGGTGTCAGATTAATAGGCCTGCTTAGGCCACTGACCGTTTGTGAGACAGAGTGAGAGGGATGCCCCATTCGCGGGAAAGCTGTCCCTCAACAACAGAGATAGGGAGGTGGAACCCAAGCCCATACGCGAACCTTCTGTGGAGCCACTGCAGGAGACAGTGATAGAGGAGCTGACGGAAGATGTACAGAAAGTGACAATAGGGGCAGTTCAGGGAGACAAGGCGGGAAAGGAGAGAAAGAAGAGGGTGGAGTTTGAAGCCGGAGCCAGGAAAGTGGAAAGGAGGGAAGGACAATTACCGCCTGGATGGGAATTGGGTGTGGATGCAGGATCTGTGGACTGGATTATGGGAAAGACTGCGAGTGCCCAAGGAGGAGGCAGATTACAAGAGAAAAGTAGAGATTCCCCCGAAACCCTCTTATGGGGTGAAACAGAAGCGAGGGAGTGGAGAAGGAGACTAAGGGAGGAAAAGGACCAAGTAGAGAGAGAAAGGAGAGAAAGATTAGAATGGAGAGTGAGAGAAATGAAGAGAAGGAACTACAGGGAAGACCCTGAGAGAATCGAGACCCCGATGGACAGATCTTGTGGGATGACAATCTGGATGAGGAGACCATGCCCTTGTTGGAAAGTGCAACAAGGCAGACAGTAAAGGACTGGGTCTCCAATGATCTGCAGGGACCCTGGGACTATAGTTACAAAAAACCATTCTTGTTCCACGAATGGAAGCCCCTTCTGGACCAGTTGGCAGAAGGATAAAAGACTCCCAATCATGTTCCAGATACAGTACTTGTTTATTGTTTAATCCTCCAATAAATCCCACACCTGTTTTGAAACAACATGGATCTGCTGATTTCTTTTAATTGAATTTAGAGCCTAAAGCTGAACCCTCACATCGTGCAACTGAGATACAAGCCACTTGTCAGTTTGCCGCAATTAGCCAGAGGAAGGTACACAAGCCTTGCACAAGTACTAGTAGAATTCCACCCATTATCTTACACTTCCTTTTTCACACTCACATTCAGACACTTTGTATTTGTTTCCCTCCCCGGAGCTGAGGGGGATGTAATATTGTCAATACCAGCAGGGGCTCACATCCTGAGAACAGAATAACATTTTAACTGGAGATTGTATCTCCCCCCCGCTCTCTCTTACTTTTCTCTGGTTCTAGGGACATAATCTGCAGGATTTATTTTTTAAATGAAAATTTCAGTGTTTGGGGAGTCAGAAGGTGCGCCCCTTCAAAGGTGGAGGGACAAATTTTAAAAAATAACCTCCAGATTCTCAGGAGTCCCACCCCTACTCCACCAAGCTCTCCCTGGAACACCATGATCTTCCAGCTAAAAAAAGAGATCACCTGCATAACCCACACCATATTCTGTACTATTACCTTATGATTTGTTTAACAAAGG